AGGCATGACTAGAACTTGCTTAATTATTACCCGAATTTATCGAATAAAGTGTCAAATCAAGCATATGTATGAATTCAAATATATAATATGTACTCAAATCAAGCATCGTAGTATAGTACATCTCAGTTTCGCAGGAAAAAAAAAGAGAATGTGGGAGAGGTACTTTTTTAAAAAATAAAAAACCGGGTAAATATGCTTGATATAAAATAAGATAAGATGTAGTACTATTTTTAGATGAGTTATTAATTAGATGTGTATGGATACAGTGAGAGAGGCACTGTATGATCGACACTGACAGTATCAGCATTTAGCTGGCAAAAGCTCCACGAAGGAAAATGACAGCGAAAAGAAACAAGCGTACAATTTCCAAAGTCACACCCACCATACTATATACCACGAAACTGCCATATAATTAAAACGGAAAAACGACAGAAATGTAGCATCAACAAAATCTAAATAAAGAGTTCGTTGATCTACTAACTAAAGCAACCAGGATGGTATCCAAAGTTGTTAATTGAGAGCTTTATTATCACCCTAAAGAATTAAACTAATTAACTTCTGTAATTCAACTAGTGCCCTAATAATCAAATGTATCAATTCCTGAAGAAATTTTATATATGTTGTAATATTTTGGGTAAAGTACAATTACACGTTTATGATACAAGTACAATATATATACTCTTTTTTTAATCCAAATATAAGTTGTTCTAGATGCAGGGTGTGTTTAGTTCACGCCAAAATTGAAAGTTTGGTTGTAATTGAAACAATGTGACGGAAAAGTTGGAAGTTTATATATGTAGGAAAGTTTTAATGTGATGGAAAAATTGAAAGTTTGTTAAAAAAGTTTGGAACTAAACTCGGCCGAAGCTGAATTTTAAAGATGGCTGAAATGACTTTGTTGCCCTCCATTCATACTAGAATAGATGAGTCAAATATTTGTAAGAGATTCCGCATTTTCTTTAAGAGTAAATAAGAAATAAATAATGAAGAAAAGTAATATATACCAAAACAACTTAAAATTTTCAAATAAGCTAAAAAATACTAAAAATTATTTTCATTTGGGATCGAGAAGAATATTTCTCCTTTTCTTTTCGGGCAAGTGACAGAACGACGATCAAAAGGAATATTTCTTTTAACTCAGAACTCCTGGTATATTTTCGTATGCTGATATTTTCAAATCAAAGATCTAACTTGTGGTGTTTTGTACCTTTACTTCAGTGTTTCTTAATTAAGGCCTTTTATAGAAGACCTCGGTGTTATTCACAGTAACTAGTATTTTTTTTCCTTTTTGTGTAGATATGGATTTCTATGTTAAATGTTTGATCATCGGTCTTATTTAATTATTTTATGATTAGTATTTTTGTTGTTGTTAGATGATAAAATATAAATAGTACTTTATATATGACTTACTTTTAGAAAATTTTATAATTTTTTTAAATACGATGAATGGTTAAATGTTATATATAGAAACCTACAGCTGCACTTAAAATGAAATGGAGTGAGTATGATACAATATTTAACACAAGATTATCAACGTCAAAATACAGTAAGTTCGAGGGGACAACTCAACCATAATAATACTTTCTAGATCCCCAGTCCCCACACAATTGGCAAAAACAATCGGCGTGAAAATGAAACAAGATCAATGCCCTGAATGCAGCCATTCATTCCATACTCTCTCCCTCCAGTCACAAAAAAATAACCAAAACATATTGTTGATTCTTTTCGACATGTTTTAAGCAAAAACTTAGCACTCTAAAAAAATTAACAAAACAAGTATAACTTCCTACCTGTGCACCAACTAAAAATACACAAAGCCATATATATATTTGAAGAAAAAACTTTCTTTGTCAAAAAAAATACTATTCATTAATAGCACTGAATAGTATTTGTAGAAGGAATCATTTTAGGACCCATGTCAATATCGTAAAAAAGGTGTTTTAACAAAAAAATGAGTGTTTTATATCTTTTATCAATACCCCTTCCGTCTCATTTTTAAACGCAACCATGAGTTCCATGTCCAACTTTTATCGTCCGTCTTATTTAAATTTATTTTTTTTTGAAAAAAGTTAAAAAAAAAGTCACGCATAAAGTATTATTCATGTTTTATCAACTAAAAACAACAAAAATACTAATGATAAAAGAATTTGAAAAGAAATAGACAATCAAAAATTGAACAAGGAATTAAAACTCGTGGTTACGCTCAAAATGGGACGGATAAAGTAGAAATTAGTATCAACATTGTTTTTAAAACCATGTCAATATCGTAAAAGAGGAAATTTTTATACAAGAGGTAGGCATCACAAAGGTATTAATGCAGCTGCATATCAAAGAAAATACCGGATTTTTTTTCCGACTTGAAGGAAGAGCCGCACGGCCATTGTTCAAAGGTCAGAACTCAGCTATACTACTGTACTCCCTCGCCCATAATAAGCGTGAGTTGTGGACCATCCATCTTATTTAATTTTTTTTATTATTACTATTTTTATTATTATTAGATAATAAAATATAAATAATACTTTATATGTGAATTAATTTTAAAAAATATATAAATTTTTTAAATAAGATAAGTGGTCAAGCGTTGGACACAGCCATACACTTAAAATAAGGGGAGTACTGTACAAGTACTACAGTAGGGGTACATGAGAAGCTGCAGCAAATCTGACAATTGACAAAGGAGTGTGACAGTGCGTAGTACTCCAGTAGTCCAGTTTCCTGTTGGCTAGCTGAGTAATACCTGGTGATGACTGATGAGAGATCACAAAGAGAAGAGAGAGCAGCCTATTACCCCATGAACAAATGGCTGTCCATGCAAGAGAACATCCAATGCAAGGCACTGGCAGTGTAGTGTGTGTGTGATCTTTGCAAGCTTTTACAGCCATGCCTTGATTTGATGTGTAAAGAGCAGCATGGAAATGGACATGTATAGTGGTCAAATGCAACCCTTTTTCTCTTTCTTCCTCAGGGCAAACCTGCTAGCCTAGAGCTCTGGTCATGTAGAAGCATGCAGAACTCCTACCAGTCACACACAGAGACCTGCCATTGCCACACCAGCAAGTCTAGTTTTCCTCAATCAGAGAGGAGAGGCACATTGTTGCCACTGCAATGCATTACTCCTGCTAGCTGCTGCAAAGCAAAGCTAGGAGTAAGCAAGTACTCCCTCCGTCTAAAAAAAGACAAATCTGGTTTCCGTATCCAACGTTAGACTCTCCGTCTTACATGAATTTTTTTTATAATTAGTATTTTTCATTGTTGTTAGATGATAAAACATGATTAATACTTTATGCGTGACTTGTCTTTTTAATTTTTTTCATTTTTTTTCAAATAAGACGGATGTTCAAACGTTGGACACGGAAACCTAGGGTTTATCTTTTTTTGAGGGAGTAGTAATAGAAGGCTAGGAGTAAGCAGGTACTAATAGAAGGCTACCAGGCCATTCCCAACCCAATAACTAGAATAATATCCATATTATTAAATAAACTGTCACCTAGAATGAAAAATGATGTGGCAAATGAATAAATGAGGAAAGAGAAGGAAACCATGTGTTTGCATGAGACATAATTTCTACACATCTAAGATATCATGTGAGATAAGTAGCATTAAATTTAAGTATAGAATAGTAGTGTTTGTATTGAAAAAGAACATCTAGAACTAGTTTCATCTAGAACTAGTTTCTTGATGACATGAAGTTTATGAGAACTATATCTAGTTTCTTGGGTTGGGAATGGCCTAAGATGGCTGAATGCTGAGTTGGATAAGAGAGGAGAGAGAGGGGAAGCGGGTGGTAAGCTAGCTTACAACCGGCTAAGACACAGGAATCAAGAAAATCTGTGAAAGAGACGTAGACCATATATTAATAGTTAAGAGCTAACCACTACTCCCTCCATCCTATCCCTCCTAGTACAATGATGAATCTAGACAAACCTCCATCTAAATTCATTATCTACGAGGGATCACATCCCCTCCTAGATTGCTTTTTTTTTGGACGAAAGGAGTACCATTAAAGGCATGCAAGACCATGCATATGAAAGAGGAGCAAGAGAGGGTATCTAAGCATAACACTGGACAGAAACACTGAGAAACACGTAACTGCATTTGAAAAACTCCCACATCAGTAAGAAATTAAAGCAGCTAAGCTTGGTTGTAAGATCAAACAAAAAATCCAAAGAACAGCAGCACTAACTGCCTTCAAATATGATATGATCCCATATGGGCATTCCGAGTACCAGTGTAGTTTGGTGTAACTGTGAGATCTAGCTAAGGGTGAAGTTTAATTCGTAGTACTACTAGTTACTGTGAGAAAGATTGAATTTTTCAGTGGTTTCTGTGGGAAAAAAAATTGAATTTTTCAGGAGGCAATCTGTGTGATTGCAGATGATGAGAGGAGAGAGGCAGAGGTGGCCAAGCAAGCCTAGCTACTTATGGTATGAGCAGTACAGGTACCATAAAAAGCAAAGCAAAAGCGCCCCTGAAAGGGCGGAAGCAGGCACACAGCCACAGCTAGCTAGCATCACTCTCTTAACGCTGCTGCTCCTAGCTTAGCTCGAGCTGTACTACTACTACTACTAGTAGCAGTAGCAGCAATTGCTATAGGTAGCCATCCGTGACTCTCCCCAAGAAGAAACAGTACGTCGATTCCCCAAGAAGGACGAGACAGCCACAGTGCTGACATGACTCGACTCTCTCTCTCTCCTCTCGATCGAAATCGAAATCGATCGATCGATCACACTGTGTACTGTACTGCCTGACTGACTGACTCTCTCTGCTTGCAAGAACATGAAAAGAGGAAGAAGACGACGAGGACGACGACCAAGCAGGCCCGGGAGAACAGATCGCACTGTTGGAGACACTGTTCGCAGGGTACCTCTACTTGTTCGATCTTGTTGCAGCAGCAGAGAGAGAGAAGATGAGATTTTTTGAAGACTGTAATGGCTAGATCAGCAGAGCAAAGAACAGCAATTAATTTTGATCAGGAGTAGTACTACTCAAGTACGACCAGCTAAAATCAAAACGATCGAGTTCTTGATTTGAGAAGCTAGCTAGCTATCATATCATCATCACAAACAGCAGTAGTTGATTACACATGAAGTAGGGAGGAGAAGGCCGAAGAGATGAGGAGAGGAGAAAATTACCAGCAAATAGTAGTAGACGAGACGACGTGCGAGAGCGACCCAGTTGGGAAGAAACGATCAGGAAATAATCAACCTAATTAATTAGATGCAGTAGCAGCAGCAGCAGCAGTAGCAAGCATGGAGATTAATCCGTAGTTTTGCTAGTAGCAAGAGCAGCCTAGCTAGGGATCATAGTGGAGTGGAGTGGAGTGGAGTAACTAGTGCATGCGTAGGAGGCTAGCAGCTCGTTTTCCGGCGATCTTGGAGCAAGCTCGGCTCGGCTCAGGCGGCGGCGCCGGGAGGAGGCGGCGGCATGTGGTGGTGGTGGTGGAGGGCGCCGTTGGCGGCGTCGTCGTGCGCGGCGGCGGCGGAGGAGGGGTGGGGTGGCTTCTTGCGCTTCTTCTTCTCGTAGCTGACGCCGCGTGCGCGCGCCTGGTGCTCGCGGACCTCGCGGAGGTAGAGGCGGACGGCGCGGGCGCCGAAGGGGTTGTTCTCGGGGCGGCCGCCGTTCTCCTCGTAGGCGGCGCGGAGGCGGCCGACGAGGGCGTCGAGGCTGCCCCACGCCTGGCGAAGCGGGCACGGGCACGGCGCCGGCGGCGCCGGGTGGCCGAAGAAGGGGCACGCCGGCGCGTGCACCTTGGTCTTGCCGAACTGGTCCAGGTAGCGGAGGAACTCCAGGACGTGCGCGCCGCTGCACCGCGCCAGCGACAGCGGCGGCCGGTGGTTGCGGAGGTACTGCCCGAACGTGTTCCAGTCCCGCCGCTTCTGCGACTCGTACCTGCTCGGCGACGCCCCCGCCGCCGACGCCGACGTCGCCCCCGTCGCCATTCCCCCTCCTCCTCCGCCGCTGTCCGAGTGCGGGCTGTCCGGCGCCGCCGCGTGCGCCACGAACTCCATCGTCGATCTGCACAACACCACAAACACCACCACCACCACCACACCATAGCTGAGGAAGACGAACAGATATAGATCTATCTATCTGGGAATCAGTGCGCGCGCGCGCGTTCTTGAGAAGCCGTGGCGACGCCGACGCGCGCCCGCGCGCGCAGTGGTCCAAGAGAGAGAGAGAGTGGACGCGCGCCCGCGCGCGCGCGACGTGGGCGAGCGCGTGCGCGGCGTGGCGACGCCGCACCGCACCGCAGCCACTATAAATAGTTCTCTAGCTCCCAGATGCATCTGCACCAACAAATCGATCGAAACCGAAACCGAAAACGAAACTCACCTTAGCTAGCTCTCCGGCGAATTCACCGCCCCCCCAGCTCAGGTCTACTATCTTTCTTCGTCTTCTCCAGCGACGACGACGACGACGACGACGACCATATGCGCGCCGTGTCGCGGCGGCGGCGGCGGCGGCGGCGGCGAGCTGCAAAAGCGGAGAAGGAAGCTAGTTGCTGGGGGAGAAGGAGAAGAGGTATTAATTGGAGCAAGCAAGCGAGCGAGCGAGTGGAGGGGTGGAGGTGGAAGGTGATGTGACGTGAGCAAAAGCTGGGCGAGAAGGAGCCGATAGCGAGAGCGAGAGCGAGGAGAAGGGTAAATATCTCGGTACGACGAGGGTTTTAAAAAAAATTACACGGCGGTGGTGGGCGGGCGGCGCCGGGGATCGATTGAGATTTCATGCGAGTTTTGCTCCGTTTTTGATGGATTTCATGCGAGTTTGCTCCCTTTTTTGATGGGATTCGATCGGTTCGGCGACGGAGCCGGAGGTGGTGGGGTGGGGAGTTTTGGGGTACGAGTGTTTTTCAAACTCGCTGAATTTCGTCGAATTCGGATCTAGTGCATACATGTTAATTAAGGTGTTGTTCAGATTGGTATCATTTCAAAACATACTATTTTTTAAGCAAGATTGTCAAAGATATATACATTTAGTTATTTACCAAACTTTTATAAATACATAAGGAATCTTACCAAAACTTCGCAATATTAATGTCAACTTATCAAAATTTAGATATTACTAATATTTGGTAATAAGGTTTATTATTTCGGCTATAATCTAAACACTACTTAGTAACAGTGATATGGATAAGATTATGGCGTACTGTAGCAGAATACTGTAGAAGAAAATCAGTCATTAGATCACAAAAACGCATGGCTGTGGTTGTGCAGAAGTTGTTGTATATTGTGAACATAATAGCAGCGACGAAGTTCGTTCTCAATAGCATCTGGCCGACTGGATCTCAATTCGGTTTTGGGGTGGTTGTTTGGTATCTTACTGTAGCATGATGTTTCGTATATGGTGTTTGGAAAATGATACACGTACACAATTTTGTTATCCATCGACATCTTCAAAAACTGATGTGCCACACTGTGCATTGAATTTTGATTTTGTTTTCATAACTGTCCACTAGTTATGTCCAACAGTTGAGATCTTTGTTACTAAGCTCACGGTTTAGTAAAGATTTTTCTAATACTATAAAAGCGGAGTAGTTCTCTCTTTCCACCCCTCTCTCACCAGTGCACGCGGCTTGGCTAATCACCAGATCTAATGTTTGTCGATTACTCTTCTAGCCCATATATGATACACCCTAGTTATATGGGCATGTCATGTTACAACATATGTGCATGCTTCTACTTAACCTTTGATGGCATTTTCAACCATATCATTTTCAGCAAAGTTGCCAAAAAAAATGTCTACGTTTAATTTGTTGCCAAATTTGGTAAATGCATAAGAAATTCTGCTAATTTTTTGGTAATATTACCAAATTTGGTAAGGTTTATTTTGACTACAATCTGAATAGGCCATAAGTAATCCAGTTATCACACGGTTACCAGCTATTTCTTTGCCAATATTGTAAGTAGCAATTTTGAGGTATCCATGATATATAATAACACAAATGTTCGTTCAATAGTTTTGAAACAACCGGTTTACAAAGTCGGCTATCAAATTTAAACCTTAGGCAAGAATATTTTGCTTTCATCGGAATGAGTTGTGCTCCCTAGCTTGTTTGTAAAACACTAGAGAGCCTACTACTACTACTACCTGTTGGTGATAATAAGCACTGTAGTTGATGTGCTCCCTCTTGCTTGGGTCACGTTAGATTTCCATATGTTTCCGGTTTCTTTTTTGGCTAGGAATTGATTTTGGGGAAAAAAATCCTGAAAGCTACTTGTTATATTTGTAGGTTTTATAGATACATGAAAGAAAATGTTTTGGCTTATCTAGAAATTGGAAATACTACTGTCGGGGCTCCTTTTTAAATGTAGAAATTTCGCAAGAAATTGTCCATTTTCAACTTCTGTGCTAAAAGAACTCTTGGTAGTAGTCATGAGTGTAACCTATAATTATCCCCTTCATATGTTTTTAACTGAAAAATCATCATATAGATCAAATTTTATGTATTTCAAACAGGTTTGTTCACAGGTCAAACTTTTCACTGGCACCATGAACTAAGCGGAGGTAGAAGCACACAATTATTGTGAAAACTACTGTCAATTATTAACATGTCGCTGTCCTACTATATATGTCAAGTAACAACTGTTTGTTCCCTACCTTAAATATTTCTACATATAGTATACTCCTTCTAAATTAATACTCCAACATAAACATACCCAAAAGTAGTGCCTAATTGTGGCGCAGATATGTGCATGCATACGATGGTCTTGTTTTATCCATCTGATGATTGGTCACCTAGATTTCTCTCCCGTGAACATGTACACACTGTGGCTGTGTGCGTGCCGGTAGTTTTGGGGTCACATTTAGTTCTTTGGGTTCCTTGGGAGTAAAGTTTTTTAAGTATACGAACACACATTTAAAGTATTAAACGTAGACTAATAATAAAATAAATTACAGATTTCACCTGTAAACTGCGAGATGAATTTATTAAGTCTAATTAATCTGTTATTAGCAAATATTTATTGTAATATCATATTGTCAAATTATGATGTAATTAGGCTCAAAAGATTAGTCTGGCGATTTAAATGCAAACTGTGCAATTGGTTTTTTTTCATTCATATTTAATACACCATGCATATCTCCAAACATTTGATGTGACAGAAAAGTTGAAAGCTTGAAGAAAAAAATTTTGAATCAAAAACACGGCCAGTTGATTTTGGACGACAAACACACAAGCGCTAGCTTTCATCTATCGATCGTCAGGGGGCGCAGCAAAACCCCACAGCCAGAGTGTTTCTTCGCTTGTGCACTCCGGGAGTTGGGTTCAGTGTGAGCGACACTGTTGCTGCTTTGACTGCAGGACGACGAGAGCTAAGCTAGCTAGGGCCGGGGAGCACGGGTGAGATGAATGAAATGAAGAGGAGGAGAGCGAGCTTGGATTGGGCGGGCCAATGGCGCTCGGGGCAAGTTGCGCTTACGGCGGCCAGGCGTACAGGAGATTTGCTGTGCTGCTACAGGGCACTTCTGCGGGGATTGTTCTCCATCGGTAGCTGGCAACGTACACTGCCCAATTAACAATAGCCAACTGCCCAATTAAAATACTTTGGTAATAAAGTAAGTGAAAATAATAATAATTCTAAATTTTTTTAATAAAACGAGTGATCAAACAGTGCAACCAAAATGTTAAAATCCCTTATATTATGGGACGGAGGGAGTAGTATCTTAATTCACTAAGATAATACACATTCCGTTACACAATTTAAACTGCATTCATGGGTTTTTTATCCAATATTATTGTTCGTCTTATTTAAATATTTTTTTATGATTAGTATTATTATTTTTATTAGATGATAAAACATAAGATAAATAATGCTTGACTTAAATAAGATGCACAGTTAAATATTAGAAAAAAACCAACAAATACACGTAAAATAAAATGGATGGAGTACTACATAAGGTATATGAGGCTAGCTCCATTTTGAAACACGGGAAAACCACATAAAGTTTGAAGGATTTAAATACTACTACTCTCCTATAAGACAATTTTCACTGAGACCCTTTGGATAAAGGATTACAGTAGGTACCTATAATTTCTTTGAAATTTCTATGGATAGATATTTCATTGCAATTTTAGAGGATTTGTAGCATAAACTCCAAACCTCCTTCAAAATTTTCCTTTCTTCCTAGCTACCTCTCAAATTCTTCAAATGACGTGTTTTGCCCGTGTTCAATTCAAATGGTTCTTATGCTGTTTTCCTATGATCTTTGTTGCTTAAAGATTCAAGGTGTGAAGACAGTCTCTAAGGTCTCCTTGGGGAGCAATAATTTTGTAAAGGAATTTAACGAATTGAAATCCTATGAGAAAATGTCCTTTGAGCCCTGTGGATTTTATGAATGGATTTCGAAATTTGGATTGAACGCACACATGCATACCATATCTGTATGAGCATCTCAGAAAGACTTGTCCAGTAAGTCTTGACATTGATGAAGTCATCATGGATATCTGCCACTAAAAAAAATAATTAGCCATAAATACGGGTACCCGTGTTAAGTCTAGAACTTGAATCTATGTGGACTTATTTCACTATAAAGAGCCTAACCAATTAAATTAAGTTACATTCACTTTGCTTAAGGACATATAATTACACATACTGCCCTCTTCCCATCAAATATTTTAAAAACTTCTATTTTTATAAAGTAGTAGGTCATACTTTTATCTTTAAGGACTTACTTCTTCCATTTCATATTATAAGACTTTCTAATATTGCCCACATTCATATATATGTTAATGAATCTAGACATATATACGTGTATAGATTCATTAGCATCCATATGAATATGGATAATGCTAGAAAGTCTTATAATATGAAACAGAGGGAGTATATGGTAACCAACGAAACATCTCCTTAAATTATTTTAGAAAGCAAGTTTTAGTAAAATTGGTTTGTCTTGAAACTTATAAGCTCAAACCAACAAGTTATAGTATCCGTAACAATGCCTTCGGTAGTGTACGGTGATAGCACCTTTAAAAAATCTTAGTGCTAGTATTATTATTCTTTTCCAATTTTGGATTTTTGGTTTCCGTTTGCACGCTCCATAAGTTCCTAAATAGTGTGTTTCCTAAAATACTTATTTTAAAGCAACTTTTTAATTTTGTAGTAATTTATTTATTTGTTTGTGTCCTTAAACATATACTACTCCGTCTAAAAAAATCCAATGATTGGATTTTTTTTTTCTTTACCAAGGGGGTAGCTATCAAAAATCAGATAATTCATCTGTCCATTAATTTCAGCTATCTCATAGGGTTATTATATATACTTCTTCTATCCATAAATTAAATATAAGCATTTAAAGTGTTTTAAAATTATCTATAAATATACAACCTGCTATACGTACGACTCACGTCCTACTGTCTCACGTCTACCAATCACTGAGCTTGTTATCGTGTGGGCCAGACAAGCAACACCTACTTCCTCCGTCCCTAAAACCAACCTAGTACTAAATGTGACCCTAGGACTATGAATCTAGATACACATATATCCAGATTTATCATATTAGAATATGTCATATCTGATTCTAGATTCGTTTTTTCTGGATAGAGGGAGTATGCATTTAGTACATGCATACGGAATACTAGGTTGTAAGTTGTACATAAAGATTGGACGCATAGGAGTATATCATTTCTCATTCTTATTTTTTTCATTTTAACCCGATCA